GTACCTTTAGTAATTAAATTGCCCTAAGAATATAGCCACGTACGATCCCCTTTACAGTACCATATCTCTTTTATTTCCAATTATATTTTTTACTGAAAAGAGTATTTATTATATTTAACTAAAACTGAAAATTAGCATCAGATATATGGCCTACAAATATCTTTTTACATATTTTACCCTTTTATATAAATTATTAGTACTACATACATAAAATGTTTAAAAGTAGGGATTTAAAGGGTTTTGTGTTGATAGTAATATATTTAATATTGACGAGTCACCTATATACAATTATGAGTGAGCTGAAAAATGTTAAATATGCTAACAATTCCGTTTGATTCATATACAGAAATTAAACCAGTAAGGAAAGCCCAAAAGTCGGGCGGGGCCGACTATATGATACCCTACACCACTATGCATATTTAGTAGAGCTCTCGTAAAAAGGTTTATACAGAGCATTTCAGAACTCTATGAGATATTTGGTACAAAATCAAAATCTATCTAATTCTATCGTGCATTTTACGAACTATAGCTATATCTGAACTGATTTTCACCAAGTTTGATGTATTTGATTCTAGGCTGAATTCGGTCAGATGTGCCAAAACCCAGGATATTTGGGCTGATATTGGACATTTGGTGCGCAATCAACACGAAATTGGATGAAGATATATATAGAAGGTATATCCAAATCTGAACCGATATTTGTAAAACTGAAAAAGAAAATATTTCTTGGCTGCATCTGATACCAAATATTATTCTTGTATCGTACATTTTTCGAATTTGAGGGACTTAAAGTACAAATCGGATGAAAGCTATATATAAGAGCTATAGCTGTATCCGATCGATTTTCACTAAATTTGATGTACTTGCTTCTAGACTACCAAAAGTCAGGTCATTTGAGCCGGTATTAGCCATTTGCTGCACATTTAATCCGAAATCGGATGAAGATATATTTGGGAACTATAGCTATATCTGAAACGACTTTTACTAAAATTGGTGTCCTTGCTTCTAGGCTGAATTTGGCCAGATATGCCAAAATTCATGCCATTTCGGTTGATATTGGCCATTTGTTGCACAATTAACACGAAATCGGATGAAGATACATATGGGTGCTATATCCAAATCTGAACAGATTTTGATAAAATTAAAATCGACTACTTTTGGGCTTTATCTGATATCTGGTACCAAATATCATTCCTGTGAAGAGTATGCTATGCTATACTATATCCAAATCTTATATCTGGTACCAAATATCATTCCTGTGAAGAGTATATTACGAATGTAAGGGACTTAAAGAACAAATCGGATGAAACATATATATGGGAGCTAGAGCTATATCTGAACCGATTTTTACTAAAATGTGTGTACTTGCTTATAGGTTGGTTTCGGTCGGATTTGCCAAAATTCATGCCATTTGGGCTGATATTGGCCATTTGATGCACAATTAACACGAAATCGGATGAATATATATATGGGAGGCATATCCAAATAGGAACAGATTTTAATAAAATTAAAATCAACTATTTTTGGGCTTTATCTGATATCTGGTACCAAATATCATTCCTGTGGAGTGCATATTACGAATGTGAGGGATTAAAGACGAAATCGGATGAAACATATATATGGGAGCTATAGCTATATCTGAACCGATTTTTACTAAAATTGGTGTACTTGCTTATATGCTGGTTTCGGTCGGATTTGCCAAAATTTATGCTATTACGGCCATTTGGTGGAAAATCCCCCGAAATCGGATGATGATATATATGGGAGCTATATCCAAATCTGAACCGATTTCGATAAAATTTTAAACAGTTATTCCTGTGCTCCATCTAATACCTGGTACCAAATATCACGGTTGTGGAGTGAATATTACGAATGTAAAGGACTTAAACACTAAATCGGATGAAACATATATATGGTTGCTATATCTATATCTGAACCGATTTTCACTAAATTTGATATACTTGCTTCTAGGCCGAACACGGTTGGGTGTGCCAAAATTCAGGTAATTTGGACTGACAGCGGACATTTGGTGCACATTTAACCCGAAATCGGATGAAGATATATATGGGAGCTATATCTAAATTTGATCCGATTCTCACCAATTTCAATAGGGTTCGTCCTTGAGCCAAAAAAATATTGTTTGGAAAATTTCATCTCAATCGGATAATAAATGCGACCTGCATTTTGTTCACAAGAATACATGGACAGACGGACTGACATGCATAAATCGACTCAGAAAGTGATTCTATGAAGGTTCTCAAAAGTAACTAGGGTTCTATCTCGTTTCCTTCTCCATGTTACAAACAAATGCACAAAGACATAATACCCTTACCACTATGTGGTGTAGGGTATAAAAAGGAAAATTAAATGTGGCTGTTCTGAAATGTTAATACATTTTTACACGAAAAATAAAAATGAATAAAATCTATCCGAATGCACCCATATTTTTTATGTGCTGACAATCCTAAATGCCAATTTGCCTGTAAAATGTCTAAAAGGGGACTAAATCATTCATAATAAATACAACCTCTGTAGTGAAAATAAGTAAAAAAGCAGTAAGTTCGGCCGGGCCGAATTTGAATACCCTCCACCATTTGAAACGAATTAGAAAATTTTCAAAACAAAAAAAAAAATAAAATAAAATCCATTAAAAATTCAGTTAAAATCTTTAAAATACCTAATATTGCCCATATATGGGGAATATACGATATTGTGGACCTATATAGACAAATCTATGTCTGGGGGTAAATCACTCAGAAGGGATTCCTTGTGTGGAGCTTCAGACAATTCCGTTGAAAAATGTGGCTAAAATGATCAAAATACCGAATATCGGGAAGTACCGTTATATAGCGGATATACGATATCGTGGACCTATATGGACAATTCTTTTTCAGGGGGTAAAGTACTCACAAGGAACTCCTTGTGTGGAATATCAGACAATACCATTGGAAAACGTGGCTAAAATCATCAAAATACCGAATATCGGGGGGTACCGTTATATGGGGGATATGCGACATCGTTAACCTGAGAAGAGAATTCTTTGTCAGGGAGTAAAGTGCTCACAAAGAACTCCTTGTGTGGATTTTCAGACAATTCCGTAAAAAATGTGGCTAAAATCATCAAAATACCGAAAATGGGGGGGTACCGTTATATGGGGGATATAAGATATCGTGGACCTCTATACACAATTCTTTTTCAGGGGGTAAAGTACTCACAAGGAACTCCTTGTATGGGTTTTCAGACAGCTCCGTTGAAAAATGTATCTAAAATCGTCAAAATACCGAAATTCGGGTGGTACCGTTATATGGGGATATACGATATCGTGGACCTATATAGAAAATTCTCTGTCAGGGGGTAAAGTACACAGAAGGGACTCCTTGTGTGGAATTTCAGACAATACCATTGCAAAAGTAGCTAAAATTAACAAAATACCGAATATCGGGGGGTTCCGTTATATGGGGGATTTACGATCTCGTTAACCTGTGAAGATAATTGTCTGTCGGGGAGTAAAGTGCTCACAAAGAACTCCTTGTGTAGAATTTCAGACAATTCCATTAAAAAATGTGGCTAAAATCATCAAAATACCGAATATCGTGGGGTACTACACGATATCGTGGACCTATACAGATAATTCTTTTCCAAGAAATAAAGTACCCACAAGGAACTCCTTGTGTGGATTTTAAGACAATTCCGTTAAAAATGTTCACAATACCGAATACTGGGGGGGCGTTATATGGGGGATATACAATATCGTGGACCTTTATAGTTAATTCTCTTTCAGGGGGTAAAGTACTCACAAGGAACTTCTTTTTTGGAATTTCAGACATTTCCGCTGAAAAATGTAGCTAAAATCATCAAAATACCGAATATCGGGAAGTACCGTTATATGGGGGCTACACGATATGGTGGACTTCTATAGACAATTCTCTTTCAGGGGGTAAAGTACTCACAAGGAACTTCTTGTGTGGAATTTCAGACAATTCCATTAAAAAATGTGGCTAAAATAATCAAAATACCGTTATATTGGGGCTATACGATATCGTGGACCGATATAGCCCATCTTCGAACTTGACCTTTCTGCAGACAAAAGACAGATCTGTGCAACATTTAGAATTTTACGCTGATCAAGAATATATATACTTTGTTAGGTCTAAAATGATTATTACGATGAGTTACAAACGGAATGACAAACTTAATATACCCTCCATCTTTTATACCCTTCACCATAGTATCGAGGGTATAATAAGTTTGTCATTCCGTTTGTAACACCTCGAAATATACATTTTAGACCCCACAAAGTATATATATTCTTGATCAGCATAACATTTTATGTCGATTTAGATTCTTTGTCTATCCGTCTGTCCGGCTGTGGAAATCACTCTAGCTTCCGAACTAATTGAAGTAGATTGATAAAATTTTACTCAAATGTATATTATGTCTGTAGGACTTTAGGTATTGAAAATGGGCCATGTAGGTATAGTCCCCATATAACGGTACCCCCCGATCGGTATTTTGATGATTTTAGCGATACTTTTCACCGGAATTGTTTCAAATTTGGTATTTGAAGTTCGTAATGAATACTATAACCTAAGACGGAAAATTGTTTGTGCAGGTCCATGTCTTCATATAGCCCCCATATAACGGTACCTCCCGATATTCGGTATTTTCAAGATTTTAACAGATTTTATGGTTTTTGAGAATTGCTAAATTCGTTCCAAATGTTGGAGGGCATTCAAAGTTCGGGCTGGCCGATCTTACAGCGTTTTTACTTGTTGTTTTTAGATTTTCGATTACAAAAAATCACTTCACAGAAAACTGCAATGAAACAGTGGGCGGTTTTGAACACGTTAATTGCAAAATTACTCTAATGCAAACATTGTAACTTTATATCCATTAAATTCATATGCCGAATTATTATCTTTCGGAATAATATTTAATAGTTAACTTTAATAATTCCAAACCCACCGTTTTATATTTTTTAATTCATGAAATATTTACAGTCTCAACAGATGCGAATATCGATGATAAATACATGAAGGGGAAACAAATCACAGAACAGAGGATAATACTTCAAAGGTTTCGGTTTCAATGATGGCTTGTCAATCATGAAGGAATTCGATGAAGGTTTCACCAGTTCATTGTCAGTTCGCTTGTTCACTTTTTACAAGTTGAAAGAACGTATATGATGCTTAATCACATTAAAGGTAAACAGTTTAAAATTAGACGGATTATAAAGGTCATTGAATTTGAAGTTAGATCAGGAAAAGCAAATGCCAGTAAACTTATTTCGCGAAAAAAATGTTTAAAATATTCAGCTTCAAATTTCACAATCAGTGTTTTAGAAGAAATATTAACATAGAAATGGAAACGTTGGCGTAGAGGCGTAAAAATTTGATTAAACACATTTCATTTTTTTTCTTTGATTTCGAATAATGTTTTTTAAGTTATCCTAATTGATACTTTAAACGGACAATGCAGACGTTTATAACATTTATGTTTACATGTTTTCGGGAGTATTTTGTAATTTATACAAAAATTCAAACATTTTCATTAATGTCGTCAACAGTAATATGAGCATACATAATTTATTTCAATAAAATTAAAAAGTTTTTGGAAACATCTGAAGCAAAAACCTTGAAATTTTGCACGACGGTAATACTTGGTGTGTAGACGTGTGAAAAGGCTTGGATTTCGAAAATTCGAACTAAAAGGGTGCGAAAAGTACTCAAAAGTTATTTACAATATAATACCCTGTATGGACGAACGAAATGTAAAAATTTGAAGTTTTTACACACTCCACCGTGTTAGGAGGTTATATTAACTTTGTCATTCCGTTTGTAACATCCCCAAACTCATAAACTAGATATATTCAGGATCATAAGTCGATTTAACGATTCCCGTCTGATGATGCACTATGTCAAATTATGTGGGCTGTAATTTGACATAGTGCTTAAAAATTTGGTAGAACAATTTGTATTATGTTTATATGTTTTCAGGAGTATTTTTGTAATTTGTACAAAATTATTCAAAAGTAATTATTAATGGCGAATAATGAACATTACGGTTGTGTCTGACCTGTTATCATTAATAACTTATCTCTTAAAATAACCTACTCAGATGCAAAAATTTTAATTGAGCTTTCAGGTATCAAATATCTAAGAGTATATAAGCAGACTTTCGTTTGACGAAAAGCCAAAACCCAGTCGAATTCTTGGCCGCCTTTTTCTGGTTTCATGCCACCTAAAAGTATGCAATGATGCTTTAGAGTAGTTTTGTGCGTTGGTGATATATATCAAATTCCAAGTAAAAAAGGTGTATCTCTTTAAATTCTACAAATAAATAAATTCAACAATGATATAATAATAATATTTGATATTTAGTTATTGTATTCGACCTTTATTTTAAATTATTTCAACTGTAAGTTTACTAAAATTGAGCTCGAGGTCTTTGTTATTTTTATACCCTCCACCATAGTATGGAGGGTATATTAAGTTTGTCATTTCGTTCGTAACACCTCGAAATATACATTTTAGACCCAACAAAGTATATATATTCTTGATCAGCATAAAATTCTGCTGATCAATGTCCGTCCGTCTGTCCGTCTGTCAGTTTGTGGAAATCACTCTAGCTTCCAAACGAAATGAAGTAGGTTGATAAAATTTTATTCGCCGGACCGAACTTTTAATAACCTTTTTTTTGTAATTGTTGATATTAATATCATACAAGTACATAATTTAATAATACAAAAAAGGAATGCTTAAAATATATAACTCTTAATTTGAGGTTAATTACCTTAATTTCACAAGTTGTATCATATCGTTTAATATTTCCGTTTGACATTTGGCATAACGGTACGTGGGTAATTAATAACTAACATACACTCAGCGTGAAACCACCAACCACATAAATGAATAATTAATGATTAAACTATTTTATTTATTACAAACTGTCCAATTCAATACTACAAGCATATTGTTCTTCTTTCCGTGTTAATCTTTTTTTGAAGGTTACACAAAAGCAAACATAAGGAATATTTAAAAAATAATTAAGCAAGGCTTTACATAACAGAGAACTATTTTTAAATTTGTAGTTTTACTGCCAACGCCTGACATTATGGCATTTTCTCATACCGACAAAAAAGTTTAAATGTTATTTAGATGTATGGATCTAAAAAAAAATGAGCCTAAGACAATGAAAAATTATATTCTATATATCGACTCCTCATAGGTGCCCTCCTAAAAATAATCTCCATTGAAACGCAAATCAACTAAAAATTTTAAAAATTCAATTAAACATATCTCATATAATTTAATGTTCACACACTTTCCATATATGTTCATTTACATGCTCATACGTTTGTTTCAAAAGAAGGACATCTCACAGTATGGTTGAAAAAGGCCGATGGCAATATTGTGGTTATTGTTCTTTCTTTGTCTTTTCATGTTGAATTCGGAGAATATGCTTCCAAAACGTCTCCTGTTGCCTCCATAGTTAGAATGCTGTTGAACACACAAGCAAAGGGTGTACGCCAATAATAAATTCATATCTATTTATGAGGGGCAATTTTGGCATATTGCAACCAGTTACATATCTGTTTCTGCATAAGCTCCACAAAGATGACGGAGGCAACGTATAGAAGAAGTAGAATATACAACATGTAAAGAATGCGGGCCAGTGATTGTTTCAAAGCATAAAAAGTTAACTGTTTTCTGCTACCATTTTATTGTCATTTCTCTTTTTTAGTGATGCTACCAGATTTCGAGAAATTGAGATTTTGGTTAGTCGAGGAAGTAATAAAACTAAACACTGAATATAGTATTTAGAAAATATATTCAGATGTGCAAAAGCTTTCGGAATATCTAGCACTGATTCCATAGTTTCTATAGCTAATAATGTTTAAAAATTTGAAGCGGTATTAGATGGATTTTTGATGGATTTTTGAACCTGGCTTATTCACGATATAGGCAATTCAGATATCGTCGGATACTCATTTGGCATTTTTATAACGGTTTTGAGCAATTAGCTGAGATACACAAATTTTATCCTATAGTGGCAAAAATATTGAGACTTGTGAAATCGAGAACTAGACCAATATGAGGTGTAGACCGATGTAGACAATTTTCGCATATAAGTTTGGCGACATTTTGGGATTAATTTTAGTTCAATATGAGCTGAAATTATTCAAAATTTTACTTGAAAAGTGGACGGATGTTGTCAATATTTTCACTTTACCTATGCCCTATATAAAAGATTTCATGTACGAAACTACAATTACCTGGGATACTGCCTTTAATTTATGTGTGGTATATGATTTTTGTTTTTTATATCCTACAATACTATGTGTTGGGGGTATTATAAGATTGATTTGGCCAAAAATTATGTAACACCTCGAAATATTGGTTTCCCACATAGGAAAGTATATATGGATCTTCCTATCTCGCCGAGTTGAGTCGATCTAGCTATGTATAACCGTCCGTCCGTCTGTCCCTGTTAATTTTTAATCACGCTACAGGTCGAAATTATGGCCCGATCTTCACAAAATTTAGAATGGAGGTGGGGGTAGAGCCAAAATAGAACCCTATTTCTTTTGGAGATGATCGCATAATATTTAGGGGTTGATGTGGACCAAAAACTGAAAAATGTCCAGATTTTGCAGTTGCTCTACAAGTCGCAATTATAGACCAATTGAAGCAGATGTTAGCATGGGGCTAGAGCTTGGGCTGGGCAGAAACCTTCCAATTCGGATAATATTTAGTGGATGAAAAAGACAATAACATTTGTGTTAAATAAAAGTCAAAATTTCCATTAAACCCCGAATATATATAATTCAGAATTGGCATAAAAGTATAAAATCTAAATCTAAAAAAATCGCATAAAAATATACCAATAATGATAACGTCATAGATTTTATATTTTGTAGTATTTTGTGACATTTTTTATTTTTTCATATTTTTTATTGCATGCGATTTTTTCAATTTCACTTATAATACTGAAGTGTATGTTTTGTAATATTTTTTCACCTTACAACACAGATTGGGGTTATTATATACAGATTGCAATTATCGCCCGATCCTCACGAAATTTTTCACTAGGGTTGGTTTAGGCTCCGAAGAGCTAGACCTATTGTTTTTAAAGCTGTCTGCAAAATATTTAGGGGTTGAAATGGAAAATGTTCCTGATTTTGCAACGGACAAGAAATCTCGCATGAAGTGGGAGGTTGGGACAGCCGGTAGAATGGGCTACTATTTTTTTTTTTTTTTTTTTTTTTTGAAAAAAAAACAAGCATTACTTAAAGGCGATATCCGAAATACACAAAAGGAGAACATCAGGCTTATTTATGCTGAATTTGTTGACGAATATAGCCAAATATCTTAGACAAGCAAATCAAATAGATGAGTCTAAATTTGGAGATACAGAGGGGCCTCTTGCTTTCGGAGATGATCGCAAAATATTTAGGGGTACAAAAGATACAAAAACCGAGTGGATAAATATTTGGCAAATGTCTCCGGTCAAAATGCTAAGGGAAATATCTGGGCAGTGCTCCGTGACATAGTTTCAAAAGCGAAATCTTCCAAAATGGGTTTGAACATAAGGGGGTTTCTAACATATTGTAGTATTGTTGGGTATTACATGGTTGGCGCCGCACGACTATAGTCTTTGCTTATTTGTTTGGAAAAAAATTGTTTCATTTTGTGGGGAGATAACTCATCTTTACTCAAGATTCTATGGTAATATAAATATTGGAATAGCTTAAATAGACCTTTCGAATATTTGATAGTTCTGATTATGCGAAGTGACGCATTTGATAAGACAATTTGGACCTATGTGGACATTTCTTTTCAAAGATGTTTTATGTCCGTGGGAAACTAAATTAACCAATTTATAGTAAACTCATTTCAAAAATGTGACTACAACCCACATAATACCCTTCATCTGGTTGTACTTTTGTATGGCGGCTATAACAAATCGTAAACTTATATGTCCCATTGCAATATCAAATATTTGTACACCTACCTCATTCCGTTCGGAAACAAGGGTTATTTCAACAGGTTGGCAGACAGGCGAATGGACATGGCTAAGTCGACATGATTCTAAGGTTGATCAAAAATATATGTACATTTTTTATTTCGAGAAATTACAAATCTCAATATAAAAAAATGTATGATGTAAGGTATCAATACCTTGCATCCTTAGTACTCCCTATTCTCACAATCTGGCAACGTCTTCGACCAGCCATAAAGTTGTTCAATAACTTCGACGATGATGGTTTTTCTGTTTTAACGTTGTTGCAAAGGTGACATCCAATGTCTGTGAAACTTCTTCCTCTACTCTAGTTATGAACGTTACAGATGCTCGAATGCACTGTCACATAATAAGAAACTAGCAAGGATATGTCGCATATACACACTGTGAGATGGTTTTGTATGCGGAATAGCAGTTTTCACATGATAATGGACTGTTGGCACCACCCGTCAATTTTTATATCTGTTAACTGTTTTCATATGGGTTATTCCACACAAAACTTTGAGTAATTAATTTAAATATTAAGATGGCAAGCTGTATATATTTCAATGGTTTAAATTGCAAATGTCTTGATTGATGTATAATAATAATCCAGGAGTGCT